AAAAAAGTCAAAAGTCCCTACAAATCACAAAAGTGAAGGCAGTTTGTGACAAGTCGCCTCTCAGCCTTCCTGTTTCATGTCCCTTGTGGGCTCCCAAGGGGCAAGAGGGGAAGAGAGGAAAGGCCTGCAGGTATCCAGCATGGTTTTCCTATTGTCAGAGGCTTAGGCAGGGCCAGCCGAGAGGAAGAAGAGAGCATACCTGATCACACTGGACCAGCCAAAGAGCCATTTACTTTCAGCTCTACCTGCTCTGGAAGAGCAAGCGAGAATCCCAGGCCTCCAACTGAGCATTAGCTGTGGTGACAAGGACGGCAGGGTGATAAGGACCAACAGAGCTCTTTCTGTGCCATGTGCTTTAGGAGCCTCTTGTTAATGGCAGTTACCCAGGCCTAATTACTTGGCTCAAAACCCTGCAAGGAAGTCAGTGAGGGGTGGGGCTGCCCACCAGCACAGCCCTGGAATGGGGCTGCAGCCACTCCCCAGGGGACGTGGTCAGCATGTCCAGGATAAGTGTACGTGCTCATTTCAGTCCCGGCTGGGATAAAAAGCCTCTGTGGAGTCCAGACGCAAATCTTTAGACTTTGAAGACAAATGTCGCAGGCTTCCTGTGCCTGCAAACCTGAGACTCCTTTATACACCAACTTTCAGCCATCTGAGCGTGTACCTTGTGAGTTTGAGCTTTTCCACAAAGTTCCACTCTGCAAATGACTGTTAACTTGTTCAGACTCACAAGGTAGCAAGTTGTGGAACCAAGAGACACAAAGGAATTGCCGGTCAGGCAAATCATAAAGAAGTGCTACGGCGAGAAAGGCAATCCCTCTAAGCATGAACTTCTATTGCCCCAGTCGGTGTGGGCAAGAAGAAGTCCTGTTTTGCTGGGCTCAGATCAAATAACCAGCACCTCTAATTTAGGATCTTAACAATCAAGGAAAAGTCTTTCCAAAATCTAATGAGAAGTAAATGGCTAAAAATAAAGAATATTCTAACACAGGGAGCGAAAAGGAAACCTCCTAATTGTACACCTCCAAAGGAGAAAACAGGGGCACCCATTTCTACCTCTGAGATGCTTTTTGAGAACTCTAGAAAAAAATTTCTGTGGTTGATATCTCAAAGGACAATCATGCCATTTACATTTCATTTTTATAAATGAGCTATCCATCTGCCTTTTCATTAGTGTGCAAACCCTGAAGAATACACCCCAAATCCCAGAGCACCTATTTGCCAAGCTCTACCAGGTAATCTGGCTGCCTCATTCCCCCCCCCATAATCTCCCATATTTCTAAACCTGATTTTACAAGAAAATAATGGCTGCAATAGCACACTTTGTGGGATGCAGCCAAAACAGTGCTTACAGGGAGACACCTAGCTTTAAATCCTGCATTAAAAAACGAGATCTAAAATCTGGGCTCTAGGGTTTTATATAACGAAGTTTTTAAAAAATTAAGAATTTCTACGGCTTTCGGATGAAACTCAAGGCACAACAGATGTCTTTGTTGAAGCGGAGTTCAGTTTCTGAACACTGTAACGTCTGTGACTTCGACGGAACTTCGAAGCCCAAAAGCCGAAAAAAGGAGAGAAAAATAAACTTCTACAGGCAAATGAAAAATAAAACGATGGGTAAAAACCACCACCCCTCAAAAAAAAAGAAAAGAAAAGAAAAAAAGAACCCCCCCCCCAAAATCAAGAACAGCTTCACTAACAGAAAAGATTTATTTAAATTTGAACATGTGACCAACTACCTAAATGAAAAGCAAGTCATATTTTTTCCTCCCAAACATCTCCATTACTGCTGTAGGTTTTTGTGAGGGGAATTTCTGCAGGGAGGAGGATTTGGCGCTGGAGTTAAAGCCAAGGCCTCATCATGGCTCTCCACTGAGCTGCTTCGCCTGCCCTCCATGTTGTTTTAACGGACTGAGAAACAGACACTGGATTATATACAGGCTTCCCTCCCATGAAGGTGCCAGGGCTAAAATCTCCGGCAGTTAGGGCTAAGTCCTTATAGTCGGCCAATCTCACCCTGCACTCACATAGTTGCAAATACACCTGGCTATCCTGTGCTTTCTCACACACTGAACAAAATTTTAAGCAATTCTCTAAATTTTAATTCTCTAAATTATAAAATATTAGTTTTTTTTTAAAGATAAGCTAACCAAGAATTTGTACAGCTCTAAAATGAGCTAAAGGCACATGGATGCCTTGGTTCAACCAAAGTTTGGCTTCTAAACTCTGCAAAGCTGGCCCAGCGGGTTCAGCAACGTCCTAAGTTTTGAGCTGGATCTTTGGTTCTGACTTTGTTCTTGCTGCCCAGTGGAGGTTGACTGGTCAGGGACAGCTGCTCTGGCTTCCAACCATAGCAGTAACCACCATACAAAGTCCTGGACAATTAGCCACCAAAAATCGACCCTGCTTTCTGGTTTCCTGGTCCACCAACAAAATCCACTTTGACCAACCCAACCCAACCTCAAAAGCAATACAGGCCACAAGTAATGTGCAAGAAGTGAGTTGAGTGGTACACAGTTTTTTTTTAATTTTTTTTAATTATAATGAACACAGTTACCATATCAAACTCATGATTTCATGAACATTGAAGTTTCTTCTCAAAATAAATGAGCGTGCAAGTGTAAAAAAAAATAAACAGTGATAATTGCTTGGCCTACGTGGCATTAATCTTGGAAGGCTGGAAGCAACTGGACTAAGAAACTAGGCCCCGGCCTCCATTTGCTGTGCTGTGTGTCGGGCAGGGTGTCCCTCTTCCAGAAGTGGACATGCTTTTGCAGACGGGAAAAGCTCAGGAGGTCTCCAAGAGCTTTGTCCTTTGTTAGCTGGTATGGCCTCAGGCACACCAGTTAACCTCCTGAGCCTTGGTTTCCAGACCTGTAAAATGGGGACCGCGGGGGCTTACCCGACCAAGTGGCTAAAAAGCAAGAGGGCTTTTCAAAGTGCCCTGTAAACTGCGAAATGCTACCTAAGTATCAGCGGCTCTGCGTCTCAGTTACTGCAATGCCTGCTGGGCTGGAACTCTGTCTGTCCTCAAATTCCCTCCCTGTAATGTGCGGACTGGCCCGTGCAGCCCTCCTTTAAATGTTCCCAGTAAAACTCAAAAAAAAGTTATGTTCCAGTCATCCTAAAGTTTTGATTTTTAACACAAAAATTTGGTAGGCGAGAATCATTCCTGTGAGCACATTTGATCGCGGTGCTCTTGGTTTAGAAAAAGAAAAAGAAAAAAGAAAAAAAAAAGAAAGAAAAAACTCTCAGGATTCTCCATCCATCGCCTTACACATTTCCCTCTGCTTCAGAAATCCAGAACTTGAGGTCCACTTCTGTAAAATACGAACCTCACTAAAGTGTAAGCCCCAGCGTGTGCCACTGGGGAGCTAACGACTGGAGTTCTGGTAAAGCAGAGCGAAACGTTAAATTGAGCACCATTTCTGAAACACAGGGGCTCCAAATGGCTGAATCAGCATTTTCTGAAACAAAGTCTTCTGGGCCTGGCCTTTTAAACAGCCGCAAAGAGAAAGTTGTGCAATAACACATATTTACTCACGAATGCTACTTGTTTGGGACTTTTTCTTTGCATCTCTTAAATGAAAGAGTTACAAGAAAAGAGTTTTTCAAAAACATCCTAAAGAACCAGGGCCTTGTAAAAATCACCTGTGGCTCCCCTACTTTACCCAGTTTCGGTCAAAGCAAACGAAAAGAAGTTCGCGGGGTTTCTTCCAATGCCAAGAAAAGGCAAATACAATTTTAAAAAGTAAAGAATACCCTAATTTCCATAACGCACATGCTGCAGGCCCTCGCCAGGCAGGCGTTTGGAGAGGCAATCAGCAAAGGCGGAGAGTTGCATCAGAAATTTCCTTCTGCAAACGGTACCGCTCTTATCACGTTTCCACCGCTGGCGGGCTGCTAGTTCGCGAGCCCTCAAAACTTGGTGTTAGGCCCCAGCGACGGGTAGCGGGGCCACTACGAGAACCAAAGAAAGAAAGGGGTGGGGGGTGGGGGGGAGGGCAAGATCGTCGGTCCGCGGCTGGGCCGCGCTTGCTCGGGACTCGGGAGTGTCTGGCACCGCTGCCCGGCCCGCCAGGCGCGCACGGCGAGGCCCGGGGCGCAGCAGGAGCACCCGCCGCTCCAGCGGCGCCTGGGCGCCCACCCTCCAGGGCGGTGGCCCCCGGGAGCGGGCGGCCCCCGAAGCGCGGCCTTGACCGCAGCCCCCGCCCCAGCCCCCGAGCCGCCGCCGTCTGACAAGATGGTTCAAGAATGCGCTGCCCGGGCCCCGCACCTCCCCCCAGGGTCTGGAGCGCAGGGGAGCGCCCCGCGGGGGCGCCCGGACCATGCACCCCGCCGTCCCGTCCCGTCCCGCCATCCCACGCCGCCCGCCGCGCGGGCCTGGGGCGCCGCAGCCCCCAGCCCCGAGGCGACGCCCTTCCGCCCGCCGCGCCTCGCGGGGCCCCGCGTCCCGAGCCGCGGGCGGCCAGAGCGCAGACAATGACGGCGCGGGGACCCGCCCGGCCGCCGGGCCCCGCGAGGCGCGGACCACAAAGTAACTTGCCGCCGCTCCCCGCCCAACTCCTACCTGCCGCGCTGCTCCTCGCCGCCTCCGCGTGGCCGCCGGCCACACTCCGCACGCTCCTCTACGGGGTACCCGAAGGCAAAGACGGACACTGGACGGTCCCGGTCGCTGTGCGCGTGAGGGTGCGCGGAAAGTTCGTGCTCCCGTGGGTCTCGGAACGCGAATCCCGCCCGCCACTAGCCGCAGCGCCCTTCCCTTCCTGCCGCCTCCCGGCCTCCCCACCCCCTCGATGGGCTTTAAACTCTCGGGGCCCCGCCCGCCCTCCCCGCCTCCGCCGCCGCCTCCGCCTCCGCCTCCTCCCCCGGCCGCTTTTCCTGCTCCTCCTCCCGCCGCCGCCCGGACCGCTCGGCGGCCGCCAGCGCGGGAGGAGCCGCGGCCTGGGCGCAGGGCGTGGCGCGGGGGGCGCGGGCCCAGCGGCCCCGGGGCTGGCGTGGCGCGATGCTCCCGCCCGGGCCAGCGCGCGCCCACCATGTTCCCCGCCCGCGGGACCCCCGGCGCCACGCCACCGCCCGGGTGCGCGGCCGCGCCGGCGGAAGAGCGACCGGACCTGTCCCGAAGGGCCACTCGTAAGCGAATTGTTCGAAACTCAGAAAGTACTCCCCAACCGCACAGTTCCAATTCTTCCCGGGCTGAGGCCGCCCGACACCGTCGTGGGCAGTCCCGGTCCCGGAGATGGAAACTCGGGCTTGCTCACGGCGGGTCGGGTCCGAGCCTCACCTTTCTCAGCCTCAGTTTCGCCAGCTGCGTGTGAGTAGCCCAAGGAGGGAAGCCTGAGAGGCCCTTCATTGTTTTCTTGAAGCAGCCGAGCGAGCCTCGTGTCCTTTACCTCTGAAGTGGGGGCCCTCGTGAAAGTAATGGCCAGACGGGCCGTACCCGGTTTCTAAAGTGACCGCTGAAAAGGCAACGGGGTTAATGGGAATCAGTCCCGTCGAAAAAATTCTTAATATCTGGGTTATGTCGGTTTCTTAGTACAGATAGGGTACCAATAATTACACCTTTTTCTTGGGTCTTGGCGTTGTAAAAGCAACTCCAACCGTAAATCACCGTCGTTGAGAAGACACGTGGTGTGAAACATTCATGAATCCTACTTCTCCCTCACCCTGGCCTCTGAGGTTGTTCCTGGAACAACTGTAGAGAATAGAGAGACTGAATCTCTAAGAAGTAACTTTCAGAAGGTCGAGGCGCTGGGAGTGAGCACAGGGCAAGGATTTGAAAGTTGTGTGTGTCGTCCCAACGCTCCTTTTGAGCACCGTTTTGTACCTCTTGCTTCTAACAGTGGTTTTTCCGACCTCAGACTGATGTAATCAATGAAAAGTTTTCTCTTTCCTATAACTGAACACTCAGTCTTGTTTCTGGCCATTGGTCCAAATTCAGAAACCCACACCATCTAGAGAAAATGATGTGAATAAATCTTGGATTTCTGGGGAAAGGAACACAAGAACTCTTTTGTAGACAAAGGATTCAAAAGCAAACCGAAGCAGAGGAAACTGGGCTAAACTTTCTCCCGAGGTTGATTTGCTTCAAACTGCAGTTTTCCTGCAGGCTCTCGTACGTGATCCATACTGCCCCAGACACAAAGCCTGGCAGGTCATAGAACTTTTACAGATGTTTGAAAGGTTTTTTTTTTTTTTTACGTGCTTTCGCAATCCTTTTTTTCCCTCCTGAATCGATTTGTTGGTAAGTTCCAAACACCATGGACCCTTCAGCCCTCTGTACGTGGATGTAGCCTTCCCAAGAATAGAGATGTTGCCGTATGTAACCACCATACTTTTCTGAGATTCACAGATTTATTTTTATAAGAAACATCTAGCTAATTTAGGCGCAGATTCTAATTTTGTCAGTTTATCTGATAAGTTGTTAGAGCTTTCTTTTTTCCTTACAAGAGCAGTGCAGTGATCTAGGCAAAAAGTTTAATCTCGTTGTCCCTAAACATCTGTGTTTGCAGGCATTATATCTCACTCGAATGGTATGTCAATAAATATCAAGCATTTTCTTGTCGGTGTCAAAGCCTGGACAGGCCCTCATTCCCACATTTCCTGGTTCTCCGTAGAACTCAGCAGGCAGGACGCACACAGCACCATTCTGAACCAAGGTTACGGCCTTACCATTCTTGCTGTGGCTCTGGGGCTACAGTTAGCCCCAGAGGTGACGTCCTGGCCAATTCTGTGGGCAGACTACCTTAGTACCTTTCTCATCTCCAGACTCCCAGTGTCCCCTGCCCACATTTTCCCTCACAGAACCGTGACAGACACACATGTTATAAGGCTTTGCCGTCTACAAATGAGCCTGGAGAACCCAGCCTCCTGGAGCAAGACAGGCTGACTTTGTGGCTCACAAACTTCCCCGAGGGGTGCTATATAAAGCAGACTTGGGTGTCGAGACAAGAAACAGGATTCTCTAGTAGTGAGGAATTCCATTATCCAAACATGAGCTTCAGGAGGCTCGTTCAGCTGAAAGTAGAGAATCTGATAGACTCTAATTTTAAATTAGTAATGAATTGATTAACATCTGTCTCCCTTGCTGATTGTAGGAATAGTGTCAGTGGTAACTATGTACCTTTTTGCTAGTGTTCTGCCAGAAAGGGGTGGGGGAGTGCCCTGGCCCCAAAGAGGGAACTAAGTGGAAGAAATCATTGGAAAAATAATAGACAAATGAATGTCTCTGTAGTGTAAATGAACGGAGTAACGGAGTGATCTCTCAGCCCCAGGCATCGTCTCAAATGTTGCCAGTAGCTTTGGCAGAGGGAAAGCGTGGAGGGCAAATGGCATCCCGACAGATGCTAGTCATGCCGCTCCGTCCCTACTGCACATGGTGCATTCTGGCATAGCTTAGAAGGCAGAGCTGGAAACCAGAGACCAGCCAGTCTGAGGACAGTCCAACAGAACACCCTGGTGGGTCAGCGAGTGATCTGCAGTCAGAATGAAATCACAGTGTCTTATGATTTGTATATGAAATGCCATTTACAGACTTGTCTTTCTTGTAGGCTACTGTACTGAGCACTGATCTTCAGCAGTGGAGCTCTATTCAGGAGGCGCTGGACACTCAGCAAGTAGAGCCTGGACGGATTCAGAAGTAGGTCTCTTGAAACAGAACTTTAAAGGTAGTATACCTGGTTCTCACTTTATCCGCTTTTTTCCGTCTCTGATCTCCATTAAGAGGAGCTTGCATGCCTTCCCTGCTATAATGGATAGAATTCATTGAAGCCATGAACCCAAAACCAAAAACCCAAACTAAATAATAAAAAAAAACCTTTCCCAGGTTTTTCTAAACTGTTTTAAAATATAGGGACCCATATTCTGACATAGTGTCTGCCCCAGGACCCCAGGAGAATATTTACACTACTGGTTCCTACATCCATCCAGGTGGCACAGCAATCACCTTCATGGGTTGTTCCTGCTTCAGGATCCTCCTGCCTCAGTGTCTGTGGTGCTGAGGTTACAGGCATGAGTCTCAAGGCCCAGCTTGATCTGCATTTTTAACCTACCATGTATACTTGCACATGAGTAATCCAAATGTGTCAACTCTCTGAACCATTTAAGCCAGAGAGTTAAAGCTTCCCCCAGACTCTACAGAAGAATGATCTGGTGGCATTCAGAGTTTTTCTGGCTGCAGCTGTGGCAGTGACCCCATAGAGTCCTAAAATCTCAGACTTGGAAGGTGAGGCAAAGAGGAAACTAAAATGGTCGTTAGGCCGAGGGAGAAGCATGGATCTCAGAACTGTGCCGGGAGAAATCTTGGCTCCGTTGGGGAGAAGTATCCAGTCGTTACATTTGGTCATAAGATACAGGAGCTGCAGCTGGAGGATGGGAGGGTGGGGTTGAGTCAGGAGAGTCGAGGCGGGAGGGGTAAGGAGGACCTTACTCATCAGGCTTAGGCATTTGCACGTAAGCTAAGGACACTAGAAGATCATGACTTCCCCAGCAATCCTGACTTTCTTGATCCCCAACAGATCAGGACCAAGAAGTCCATTTCCTAGGTAGGTTAGTCAGTGGGCAGAGTGGCGAGCTGAGCAACCAGATGCTACACCTGGGATTATGAACTTGGAGTATTGGTAGAAGTCAGGACAAAGGACACCAGGTGAGGACCATGGAGGGGGGCTTGGGTAGACCCAAACAGAGCCTCCAATTCCTGTTTTCCGGTCCGGCTTGGGATAGTATGACATTCTTTGGGCTACCTATTTAATTCTGTTTTCTGACATCTTAATAGAAACTTTCCTTTTTAAAAATAGCTGGAATCAGAAGAACTTTTCAAAGCAAAGCAAGGGCTCACTGGAAAATATTCCTTGAATTTCACCTATTGAAATAATTTGCTGACAGGGAACTTCACTCTTTTTTTTTTTTTTTTTTTTGTTAAAGTACGTGTTGTTGAGTTTAGAATGGTACACAGTTGTGTAACCAGTAAAGACACTGGACAGTATTGACCCCGAAAGGTTGCTTCATACCCCACCCTTGCAGTCAACACCCACCCTACCCCACCCCCTGGGCCCCACATCAGGCAACCACCCACCTGCTGTGTGACCTTGTGGTTTTGCTGGGGGAGATGCACTGATAGTGTAGAAAGTAACTCAGTACAGTGTACCTGGTGTTCACCTGCGCTGTTTCCCAAATTTGTACCGTGCTCCTTTTAAATGCAGAGCAGGATCACGCCATATGGGTGTGTGTGAATGTGTTCACCCCTTCGCTGGTGTGGAGAAATGTGGGTCAGTCTCAGTTTTAGGCAATTATGAATAAAATTACTAGAATTCTTCGTGAGAGGCTTTTTGTGGAAACACAAGTTTTCGTTTCCCTCGGGTAAACAGTGAAGCAAAGCAGAGAGGTCCTACGGTATGCGTTATCAGAAGGTGCCAAATTATGTTCAAAGTAATTATACCACTTGCACTTGCACCAAAAATCATGACTGTCCCAGTTACTCCACCTCCTCCAGACGTGTTCATCAGTTGTCTCAGTTGTAGCCGTCCATGTTAGCGTGTAGTGGTATGTCTTCCCTGATTTTAATTTGCATTCTTATCGTAGTTAATATGTTAAGCACTTTCTCATGTACTTACTTGCTGTGTCTGTCCATAATTTTGTGAGGTGTCCACGCAAATCATGTTTCTTTTGGATTGTTTTCATATTATTAAGTTTTAGAGTTTCTTTAATATGGATGCATGCTTTGCTTATGCTCTCTCTCTCTCTCTCTCTCTCTCTCTCTCTCTCTCTCTCTCTCTTCTCTCTCTCTCCTTTCTCTCTCTCTCTCATTCTTTCTCCCCCTCCCACTGTTTCAAGAATCAAAAGGAAGGTTTTGTATTTTGGAGGATAAGCTATCAATTTATGGTTCATGGCTTGTTTTTCGAGCCCTGTTTAAGAAACTCTTGCTTCACGCAATACAGAAACTTTTTAGAAGTTCTTTAGTTCTAGCTCTTACATTTACATTATAAGCCAATTTAACTTGTTTTTTTGATGGGCGGTTTGAAGGAATTAGTCGATGCCAGGTGCTTTTAGAAAATCCCATCTGACTTCTCTACAGATTGGGGAGAATAGCTGAGACGGGGAAGGTCAACAGTGCGTTAGTTACATTCTCACATGGCAACCATGGTCTGAAGCTTGGATGCTGAGCTAACTTCACCCACACATCGATCCACAGAGGAGCATACATGTAAACACCCAAGCTGCTTTAAGGAAGAGCTGTAACCTTTCAGCTGGAGGCCAGTGCTTCTGCCGCAGAGGCCAGGTAATAGGATCAAGGTTCAGTCAGTCAGGCTTTATGTCTTCAGGGCAAGGCTCTGAGGATGCCTCTGAAGGATCTTACTGAGCTCTGTTTTTGGAGGTTTCGTTTTCCATATAAAAGTGGAGATCACAGATATTTGCCCTTTTGATTCTTCAGGGCATGGAAGACATCAGAGACACCACAGGGCAGCCCGCACAAGACCTGATGCAGACAGGCGAAGGATGCAAGGAGAGCTCATAATCCAGGCCACTTAGGAAGATTTCACCATGATAGAGTCTAGGGCACGGTTGCCCCACAAGACATCTTGATCCAAGTTGGAAAACCGAGCATCCGTTTACACAATTTGGACCACAGGGTTCCCCAGTCCAAATCCTAGGCACTTCCAGTTTTGCCTGAACAACTTCAGGGTGCTGGCTTCATCTTAATGCTTGTCTGCAGTAGTACAGATATGGCTCCAAAACAGTTACACTAGTGACCGTGTCCAAGGGACCAAGGGGACATTTCTCCTGTGCGCATGCTGGAAGCCTCTAGGAAATTTCATCTTACACCTCGTCTGGAACAAGGTCCCAGCCTTGTAGAAAGGTATGATGAGAGCATACAGCATTTTAAACTCTGACACAGCAGGACGTAATGTTCAGAGAGTACATTGCTGGTAACTAGACAACCAGAAGGACCTAAACAAACATGTTTGGCCCTTACAGACATTAAAATCCAGGGCCCCATTATAGTTAAAGGTAATAGTCTAATGAAATTATACATGGTGTTAGAATGTGAGGGCTAGCATGCAATTATAAGCTCTGGGGTATGCTTAGTTGTGTCTCTAAAATGGTAGGTCCTTTTTAGCCTCAAAAAAACTTAGCCCTTTATTTCAATTATGAGTTAATTAACCACTAATGTCATACAAACTTTCCTTAATGAAATATATTTTCATTCAATGCATTTCATGGTTTTAATAACGTAAGTTTCAGGGCTAACAGAAGGACCCCCAAATAAGGGTAAAATTACTTAAGTAGTAAAAAATTATGCAGAGGTAAAAGGAATTTAATATAAGCATACCTTCTGCAGTGTGCCAGGCAGTGAGGAAGAGTGTGTTTGTAAAGTGAGAACTTGCAATCAGTGCCAAAATTCTTAATACCAGAAACACCTGTTAGACAGTATAGACTCAGTGAGAGGATTCATCTCTTTGCAAAACAGAGAGGATAGCCCTGGAAATGTGCTTGCTAAAAGGCGGCGTAGTTAGACTTAGACCCATGAGCTGTCCTCTCAGGTGGAGAGCAGTGCTCTGAGGGTCTGTGTCCTTTGGGGACCTTGTGCCCTCTATTGGTCAGGGATCATGTCGGTCGCACAGCAAATTATGCTTCTTGCTCCTTCATTCGTGTGTAGGTGTAACCCAGGGTCCTTATGACTGACAGTCTATCCGAATCAAAGATCTATGGACTGTATATGGAAGATTTTTTTCTAGGAAAAGTTGTGTTTTCTCGTTTTCTATGTAATTTTTATTCCTTCTTCTCCTTTTCCCTTTATATTCCCCAAACAAGCATCTTTTAAGCATCTGCTTCATCATATAGACATATGTTTCTTGTATGTACACACTGATTCTGTGTGCATGTCTCAGTTAATACTTACTGTACATTACAGTCTTAGTTTATAGCCCAGGAAGCTAGCTCAGAGAAACAAGATGTCTCAAGACTACTTAATTGCAAACTACTGTGACCTGTTTGACTATCTTTGCACCTACCCATCTTTTTTCTCTACTCAGTGCTGTCTCTCTTGTCATTTTATTATTTTATTTTAAAATCAGATATTTCAACACATTGCCTCACAGGGTATCTTTTGTGTGTAATTCTGTGATTAGATTTTAGTGTCATTAATATTTCCCTCTACAGGAAAAGTATTCTTGTTTACTTTCAGGTGATACAGTGTGTCCTGGATCCAAGGTGGGGAAAAGGGACAGTCATAGAAAGAAAATATTAAGTTCATTATTGAGCAGGGTTCTTGTCTCTCTTGCACCTCTTGATTTCTTGCTTTTGGAGAATTTGAGGACTTGGCTATGAATGCCATCTTGGGAATTCTGACCTCTCAGAGCTTAGAGACACCCACAGGTTGGGAACCCTGTTAGGTAGCTTAAAAGCCATTCAAAATGCTATGGAAGGAGGAGGGCAGTGGATGTGCAGCCAAGCAATGTATTAAAGAGTCCAAAAGAGGGACCTGTCCTACAAATGGGCCTTGAGATACCAGGTGTCATTCAAAACTATAACATAGGTCAAGTGAATGGAGCCAGCTAGTAAGGGGAGCAATTTATTTATGGACTGACCTTTAGATCATGGCTTCAAGCCCTAGACCGAAAGAAGACAGGGTCCTTATCAGGAGGACACGGGGCTAGGAGATCAAGATTAATTTACGGAGAAGATAGGTACCAACCACCGAGACGTGACTGACTTCCAGAACATAAAGGGTCTCCTTCAGTTTACCCTTAGGTCAAGCTGAACCCCTATATCACAGGGGTTGTTGATGGAGGTGAGAGATGGCCAAGTGGGAAGAAAGTGGAACCAATAGGAAAGCCTTCACTAAATAACATCATTGGCCTTGGAACTGACAACTTCAGTTGCCAAGCATGGATGAAATGCTGACATTGGGCAAGCTTCTTGGGTAGGCAGGTAGGATACAGTATTTACATTCTTCTCAAGACCTCAGGAATGTTGCGGCAAGATTCTGGGTAGGGTACTGGGATGTCCAGAACAGAGGTGCCCCAGGAGTCCTCTCACAGGGAGAACTGCATGGACACTCTGGACCACCAAGGGACCCCATGCATTTGAGTAGTCTAGAGTTCAAGGAGACTGTGGGACTCTGTAGATTGTTTGGCACAGACAGCAATTATCAGGTGCTTCCGCTAGAGCTACCATCTCTGTATGTCCGTAAGCTGGAGCCACTGGGAATTTCTGCAACAAGCCCATCACTCTTGAAGAAAACTCATCTGGGTTCCATGGAGATGCTCCTGTTGGGGCTACATGTTCTATCCTGGAAAAGGCCTTGTGCTTTGGTGTTAGATGAAAATAGGTCCAAATTGACTTTGTATGAATTAAGCTTGAGCAAATTCTCCAGACTTACTGATGCAATTTCCTCAGGATAAGTCTTATTTAATTGGGTTGTTCTGATGGGTTTGTGTATTTTTACGTGGTGATGTCCCTAATTATTCAATAACATAATATAGCATAAACCACTCATACTAAATCACATATAACAATTGTGTGTCCAGGACTGTGGATCACAAGACAGAGCAGCAAGCATGACTACGTACCTCTTACTTAGATTAGTTATTTTTCTCTTCTGTGTGACAAAATTCCTGACATAATAGGTTAATGAAGAAAGGGCTTGTTTTGAGTTGTGGTTTCAGGAGGACATTGTTCTTCATTGAGAAGAACGCATGGGAGAGTGTCCACTGGGAGTGGCACTCAATAAGTGCACCTGTTGTTTTTCCCATCATGGCAGATCAGGATGCCGGGAATTAGAACAGAGGCAGTGTGGGAGAAACTCTCCATGACCCATCTCCATTCACTAGACCTCACGGTCTTCCCAAACGGCTCTACCGACTGGGAATCATCAGTTTCAAACTGTACCATACCCCACTGTGTGAGTCCGTCAGTGGAAGGGAATACCCGAGGCTAGGTAATTTCATAGAGAAAAGAAGTTTATTCAGCGCAGAGTTCTGTAGGGGAAAGGGTGTCACGTGGCATCAGCACACTCTAGCAAGGACCTCAAGCAGCAGTGTCAGAATAGCAGTTTAAATGAATGTAAGTGACCGAGCTCACATGACCATGTTTACTATTTCTGTGAGAGCCCCCTGGTGAGAACTAACAGCATTTCTGGGACCTACCTTAATCCTTTTGGTGCTTCCGGTAACTTCCCATTAGGTTCCACCTCTGAAAGGGACCACCACATCGAGGAGCAAGCCTTCATTCAGTCCATCAATCCTGGGAGGACAGACCACATTTAAATGACTTCCAGGGGCCAGCAAGGTAACTAAGTAGGTAGACAGTGTGAAGCATGATGACCCGAGCTCAAGCCCCTGGCACCCACAGGGTAGGAGGAAAGAACTGACATATGAAGGGTGTCCTCCTCTGACGATTGCACACATGCTGTGGCGTGTCGGGCATGTCCATGAATAAATAAATGTGAAAACATTAAATTGCTTTCAAACCATCACACTTGTCTAGCCAGAACCCTCAGGGTCTGGTCTTAGACACCACGCATTAAGAGTTCTCAGCTGCAATGTCGAGAGTACTAAGTTAGTAGGACAGGTGACTTTCTGAAGTGCCTCCTCACACGATGCCAGGACTATGGCAGCTACTCACAGGCAGTGGGGGTTTTATCACGGCTATCATCTGGAGGCACACAAGTCAGCCCAATCTTGGATAGCCTCTTGGTGTGTACCAGTCCTGCGTGTTTGTCACCTGTGGCCTGGGGAAATAGCAATTCCAGCTTCCTAAGGCAGTGTCTTGGGATTCATGAATATAAGTATCTGTGATTCTCAGTGTGCCTGCCTAGCATCCATCAGGAAATGCTGGGGACTAGTGTGATCTGTTCTCATCAAAAGTCATGTTGAAACTTAATTCTAGATGGAAGAAAAGCCAGAAGACCATCAGTGTCTCCGTTATCTACCACCTGTCCTGACCTGATATGAGTGTCCCTGCTCTGCCACACACTGTCTGCCACAATGGACTGAACATGCTGATGTCATGAATGAGGTAAGTCTCTTCTCATTTAAATGGCTTCTGTCAGGCATTTCTCAGAACAATGACCAAAATAAGTGATATAATTAGGGACAGGTTAATTGAAGAGTTGAAGAATGGTCTACCCATCCCTCCCCCCAAAAAAGTAAGCTTCTCCCCTCCTCGGGCTCTCTTATTTCCGTTCTTTCATGTGGTCTCTCTCCCTCTCACCCTCTCCCTTCTCACTATCAGATACCACCTGATGTATGATGCAACCAGAGGCCCTTAACAAATATTGACCTTCTAGTCGTCAGAACCGTGGGGCAGACACTCTCTTCTCCAGACGTTACCCGGTGGAAGAGATTTTTGTTAGAGCACTGACAAATTTCTCAGGCCATTATTGTCTGTGATCACCCTGCCAGGAAGGGAACCTGACCTGTCAGGCACTCCGTCGTTTTCTTGTGGGGGAATAGGAGACTCAGAGCAACAGACTGCTCAGTCAGGTGACAGTGTCCAAAGAATGCATACCTGAATCTCCTGCATGGTCCGGGACACCCTGTCCCCGTCCCGCCCTGTTCCAGGGACGGCTGCTTTGAAGGGCTGAGTGGGTGGCCTTCAGGGTGAGCTTTGAGCTGGGCTGCCTGATCCCCTCTTTATCTCAGAAGCACTCTCCAGCCCTTCCTGGATGTGAGCATCCAGCCCTGATGACAAACAGAAAGTTGAGCAGCCAGCGGGGGAACTCCGGGGTGGCTTTGTTCCAAAGCAAGACAGTAGAAGCAGTACCGTGCGGCTCAGAGCATTTCTTTCTATAAGCATTCATGGAAAGATAAATCTCCCTCATATTCGCAAGTTGACAGGAAGAGGTAAAAAAATACTTGAAATGTCAACTATTTATATAACCTTTGGCCTTTTCCCAATACTGCGATGTGTATGCTTTCCATCTCCACACAAGAGCAGCGAGTTTCCTGTTTTGTTTTGGTTTCAGCAGCCTCCAGGCACCCCTTTCGATGAATTGGCACCCTCCACATGCTTGTCTGTTGGGCATTTGGCCTGTTTCCAGTTTTTGACTGCTATGAATCGCTTTGCAATAAACATCCATGGGCAAGCTGTGTATTTTTTTTTCTCTTCCGAAAAACATACCCCCCCTAGAACACTGATAGTTTTCTGCCCTCCTTCTAGTAGAGCCAGGAAAGGATGATTCTCTCAAGTTACCTCAGAGTCTAACTTTGTGCATAAGGCTTTTGACATAAAGGTCTCATCACCAAGCATCTGCCTGTGGCCTAGGGCAGAGCTTGGTGTTCCCGGTGGACCACGTGCCGCTGGTGATGCATGCTTTGCTTCTCCAACCCCTTCTCCTGGTGGCTGGTCCTGCTCACACACGTGAGACGTCCCTTATACCTAGCTTTCCCCAGGACGTTACGTCCCCTTGCATACTGGCCACTCAATTTCCCCACAGTTACAGTGTCCATTTCCAGCAGGCTCCATGTTTACATGCCAGAGTTAATGTTCCTAAACAAGGCCATCTCTTTAGAGTTAATATACTTAAACAAGGCTCTCTCCTTAGATGGCTAACCCAGATTTCATACAAGGCTAGGTTGTAAGGTAGAGCCTCCGATGAGACAGTGGGGGCTGTATCCTGAATGGAAGTGAATTTAGTTTACTCTTAGTTCCAAATGGAATCTCACAGGCCACTCTCAAGTCCTAGTGACTATTATGGCTTAAATATGAAATGCCCTTCATGAATTACATCTTGGCTGCCTTATAGCTTGTGGTACTATTTTGTAGGCTTTGGGTATTGAGGAACTCTGGTAGTAGGCAGCTAGGGCTGTGCTTTTGAAGATTATACCTGTCCCTGGTTCTGGTCTCATGAGCTATGTTGTACTTCTTCCTAAGTCCATCATGGTATGAAGAGATTACCACACCTGACCTCCCTCTACCATGAACTCTGCTCTGTCTTGCTTGCCATGATGGGCTGTGTCCTCTGAGACCGTGGGTCCTTCCTCGCTTAAGTTGTTTCTTTCCAGTATTATGGTCATAGCATAGCAACACATATGTAACTGGCACAATGACTTAGAGCCAGCATCCTGCTCTCTGCAGGTGCTAACGGATCAGTGATTGCATCAGCCTCACCTGGGTTTCTCCATGCTTGTAGAGCAAGGTGGGCAGGGGACTGTGGACAGGAGAGTCCTAACACCCTGCTTTTGCATCAAACACGGAGTGAGCATGGAAAATCTATCACAAACTCTGTAATTCCACCTTAGCATTCTCTCGTGTCATGTATTGGTCACTATAGAGATGAAAGTGACACAGATTCTTGGCCTGACTCTTCAATCCTTGTATCACAGATGTGACAGACAGTAGGTCAGCCTAAAGCAGGACTTTGTGGGGATATGGGGAGTGATTAGTTTGAAGGACATCTACCTGAGATACCTATGAAAGGGAAGAAAGGGAGCAGGATTGGATGGTAGAGAAGCTGAAGGGCAAGTAAGCCAAAAGGGGAGCAGTCAGCCCCACAGGGGACTCTCGCCCTAACACCACTCTTCCATTGTCTAGACACTGAATAGTGCTGCTTCCAGCAGAGAACTTGGCATAGGATCAGCCTTGAAGTTCTAGTGGGTGCAGTCTGTCACCTCCATATGCAAAGGCTGGGAGAGCTAGCTCTGTCAGGTTAACAAGAAAGGTGGGGCGGGTACCAGGCTCTCCAGCACTTGCATGATGTAACAATATGCTTGAACCTGGCTAATTTACAAAGGAAAGTGTTGACTTTATAGCTTTGGATACTTAAAGTTCAAGATTCTACAACCCCATATTTAGTCTCTGGTAAGAGCCTCCTTGGGGGTGTCACATGATAGCAAATGGCATCTTGCAGGGTGGGGGCCGGTTGATGACACAGTGAGACAGGAAGCCGGACAACAGGGGAAGAAACCATGTCCATGAGTACTCACCTGTACCATGAACCCGTGAAGGATAAACAGCACTCATCCTTTCTAAGGACAGTACCCCCAGTTACCTAATTACCTCCCTGCCCCTTAAAGGGTCCATCCACCTCTTCACATTGCCACATTAGGAACCAGACTTCCTACATAAACCTTTGGGGGACACACTGGAACCATATCCAAACCATAGCACACCTTAGTCAGCTGTTACTCAGCCTGCACTAGTATATGAATTTGAAGGCATTTACACAACCACTGGATGCACAGCCAACACACTCAGCAGTGTTTCCACAAGAGGTATGTCATTGGAAGGCATGTTGAGGTTTGTTGAATCCAATACTACTAACTGGTGGGAATTGATATAAAGTTCTCTGTGGGACTCTTCCATCTTATATAAGTATTGAATTATTCTGTAGCAAGGATCTATCTGTAAGTTCCATGCTGTTTCCTCTGTCTGCTTCAGTGTCTTTGATAGATGGCCTCCCAGGCACCCCAGCCTCAGGGCAGGCTGACCACTTCCACAATTCATAAACCACTTCTCAGTCTAGGACTTCCTGTTATAGGTCATTCATGTCAATGACGAAAAGCCTCAAAGTTCACTCTTGAAATGGGGGTCCACACACAGGTATAGCCGATGAGCCCCCCACCCCCACGCCACCTGTCTCTCCCCAAATCTATTAAGCTTAGTAAACTCATACAACCTAATAAAATTCCACAGATTTCGTGACTTACATAAGGGGCATTTATTTTCTCACAATGAAGGAGGCTGAATGTGTTAGTCAGGGTGCCAGGCATTACTGGTTCCTCCTTTGATGTTTTCCCTTGACTTGGAAATGGCCATCTACTGAGAGAACTACAGGGTCTTCCTTCCTTATGGGTCATTGTCCTAATCTCTTACGATGACACTGATCTTATTGGACAAGGTCCTGCTACTGTCCCCATCTATCTTCCTCATCTGTTTTGAAGGACCTCTGTCCAAATTTGTCACATTAAGATTAGAGCTTTGGCATGTGCAATTTGGAGACAGAATTTAGCCATGGATACCCCCAGTCCAGTGCTTCCATGCATATCCCCTTTGAATGGTGGGCTTCAGACTGACCAAAGCTCATGTTTTTCCTCTTTCTTTTTACATGATTCCTTTTTGTTGTTGCTGCTGAGAATTTCATACAACGATATCTCACTCTTTGCCCCTTCAATGCTCTCCATATTCCCTCTCAAATTCATGCTCTCTTCTTTTCTGATTTTGTGCATGTATGTATGCTCGTGCATGTGTGTATAAATAGCACTTGATTTTATATGTGTTGTGTTTAGGGCTGACCGTATGGGATTGGATAACCTCTTACAGGACTTGTTCCTGGAGAAGACTGGTTCTTCTCTTAGCAAACATTACTTGGCAGCAGCTCTTCATTTCATTTAGGGTTGGAGCCTTGTGAGATTTTCCCCATCATTCAAGATGTCACATTGACTTGTATGGATCTTGTGTAGGGAACCATGTTGTGGGTACAACATTCTTGTCATGTCTAGGATACACTATCTTTCCATAGTCATCTTAGTCTTTTGACTTTCAGCATTTTTCCTTCCCCTCTTTCATGTCGTTCCCTGGGCCTTACTTAGGTGTTGGGATTATGTTTTAGATGTCCCATTTGATGATGGAAACCTCAGGGTCACTTATTCCCTGCATTTTAACTAGTTGTAGATCTCTATAGTAGCCCCTGTATTCTGAAAAAAGAAGCTTCCCTGATGAGGGTTGAGAGCTGCACTTACCTGTGGTCATAATGTTAGGTATTTAGAATGTGGTTGGGAATTATATTGGTTTAGGAAAGTTAGGTTCTTCTCAAAGGCCCATGACATCATCAACCATAGGGAGCAGAACTGAATATCGTATTGGAGTTCTCTAGAGAAACAATCAGTATGTTGTATGTATATTCATATACGTATACACATATATACATATATATGTGTGTGTATATTTGTGGTTTATGTAATTTTAAGATAGTTTATTGGATTGGCTTATATATATTGGAGATTGGGCCATCCAGCAGGGGCCATCTGCATGTTGGTGAGCCAGAGAACCTGGTTGCTTCTCAGTCAAAAAGATGCAAGCCTCAGAACAAGGGGAATTAATGATGTCACCCTTCTTAACACAGAAGCTCGTGGAAGACATGCTTATGTGAGTCTCAAGGAAAGGTTTCTTCAGAAGCTGGAGTCTAACGTTCATGGATAATGGCAGCCACAGTAGACATACATTCTCAGAATGCATGGAGTCTGTGTCAACTTCTATCTCTTTCTTCTTCCACTTTCAACTCCATCCTAGCCTCCGGTCCATTGGGTGGAGCCACCCACATTTTGGGAGGGTCTTTCTCCCTCAGTTGCTCACCCTCATGTCAAACATCTCTGAAATGTCCTCAGAAGTACACTAATAAATGCTAGGAATCTCTGAATCCAGCCCAATTGACAATTAAGATTAACCATCACAATACAAAGAAGAGACTGTGCAATGATGAGACTTAAAAAAAAGCAACTTTCCCCTTCATCAAAACAAATGCTTGTGATCCAATAGTATGATCTTTCAAAACGCCATACTGATGAAAAGATCTTTGAAATGGCTCATTGGGAGCTGCATCATACAGAGGTCTCACCACTACCAGCCCCAACTCTTTGTAGAGTAAGACTTCCATCCTGCTTCTGCCTGCATCTTTTCTCTCTTACCATTTATCAGGTTCTAAAACTGCCTTCCCTTCCCTTTGCCTCAGCTCAGTTTTCCTTACCAGGGAATAAGACTAACACCTTATACAGGGAATTCTGGGACTAGCCAGGAATCAACTCAGCCTGGAGGAGCAATACTTACAGGACCATACTATCCATGAACAAACAATGGTTGTAAGAACTTGTAAACTCTAAATGCTATACAAAGTCTATGAAACACACATGTTGTGAATACTTAGAAGAACAGCATTGTAAATTGCAGAAGAAACATTGTAAAATGTGTATCTGTGAGAAAAGGAGGGAAAGAAAGAAGAGGAAAGGAAAGAACGTGTGTGTGTGTGTGTGTGTGTGTGTGTGTGAGAGAGAGAGAGAGAGAGAGAGAGAGAGAGAGAGAGAGAGAGAGAGAGAGAGGCAGAGAAGGGGGGTGGTAGTGAAGATATCTCATTTTTATCTATCCCATAATTTCTCTGGAGCCACATCACTTCCTCATCCACTGACATCTACCATCAACACATCCTCTGAACTCCAGACTTCCATTCTCCACCTTCAGACAGTGCCGCCAGTCTTCCCTGCACCTACGTCTGGTTCATCATCATGATTGGAGGACCTAATCTACTTCTTTGTTCTTGTTTCTCATGTAGAACCCGGGACAAGACAGAGAACACAACTTTTCCAAGCCATGGAGTAGAGAAAGGTTTCTCAGTGTGTGCTCTACAGACTGGCAGCATCCACACCTCTTTTTGGTGGTAGAGCATAAATACTCTCTACTACCACAAATTATGCAGCTGACTTTCCGGTATTTGGAGAAATCATGGGTTAGCATACCTGGAGTGCAATGGATGAGCCTCACCTTAGGAAAATCACCCTCACGATCATGAGATCTCCCCTGCCAGGTAAGTATGTATCCACACCTCTAGCAAACTTTCTAGAAATGCGTACTCTCAGGAACCACCCAGGTATATAGAATCAGGCATTCTAGGGCTTGCAGCTATGATCCGCTTGAATGGGTTCTGACATGCTGGCCTGAGAAACACTGGCTAAAAAACAAGATTTGGGATTCAACCTAGACACCACTGGGCCTGCCTGGCCCCATAGTGTCGGGGTTGCCTGTATTTGTGCCGTTAACAGTGCAATGAAAACTGGTTAGAGTCTGTCTTCTCCTCTGAGCTTTGGGGACCTTGGTTCAGTCTTATTTACTTTACAAACTAACACGTACACTGTCTGGCATTGAGCGGAGGCTCAAATGCTTTTGAACTGCTATCGTGAAGTTGGTTCAAATGATTAACTTAGAGCCAGAGATGTCCCGACTTGTGCAACACATGTAGCCCCTAACTTGAGCTGACTCCATAGCTGCAAGTGAGGGAAGAGAAGAGTAGTTAGCACACTCTGCACCTTTTCCAGAGAATAACTCTGGGGAGAATTATCACCTTCTGAGCAATCCAAGTGCAATCCCTGATAGCAGATTTCATTGTCCTCGGTATATTCCTAAGCCAGGATTTTACTCATGTTTAAACATTAGTATTGAAACTTAAGGAAACTGGGCTGAGTGTAGTCTGGAAATTTAGGTGTGTTGTCATGAGGGTTTTATCGTGATCAAGGCATTATTTGCCATTAGTAACAGGGGCAACAGCATGGCATCAAGCTAACCATGATCCTAGGAGTCAGACTGCCTGGGCTCAAACATGACTTCTTCTTTCCAGCGGATTCATCCCTCCTAGGTAGGCTAACTTTTCTGAACCAGTGTTTGCCTAGTGCCTGGAATAAAAACCGTGCTCAGTAAATATGAGCGACTCAGAATCCACACTCTTTCCACTGTCTCACAGAAGTCTGAATATTAGTCACAGTGTTGTTGAAATCCAGTTCAAACATAAAATGTTTAGCTCCTTGGACTTGGGGAGATGGAGAGCATGGAAAGACTTCCTAGGTTGTCAGGACAGATGGGTCTCTGTGGCTGTTGAGAATATTCTAGACATACTGAAAGTGTTGAGGGTGCAGTGTGTTAATCACATGCGTCTTATTTAGATGACTTTAGAAGCCTCAGGTTTGGTATAGTCAGGACATCTCAGGATCTCCTCTAGATTCTGAGGGAGAGCTGCACTTCTTAAATCAGTTGTTTTCAAAGTGACAGTCCCTCAAAGAGCAGGGCCAGCACTATTTGAGAACACCTTAGAGAAACACGTTCCTCAGGTGGCTGGCTCAGCAGCCAGGCAGGCAGTTGACCTTAGGCAATTATTATAAACAAAGGATCCACCCCTAACACCACCCCTGCAGCCAGAGGCCCCAGAAGAGCACACAAACAAAGATCCAGCCCCAAAGAGTCAACTTCCAGTAAGTAGCCAAGGCCAAATCACTTGTCTGTATACCATATAGGTCACGGCAATGGGAAGCCCATGGCCTGAGCCCCACATTCCAAGAAATTCTTAGCTCTGGACTGTGATCCAGAGTGACATCTGACTAGTGCTGCTCCTCTGCCTACCTAGATACATGTTTTCAGCCTTCAATATGAGAAAGGAACAACTCTTTGGAGTGTCCTACACTGATAAGCAAATGGACACACACAAACCTGTCTTAGTTACTGCCTTACCTCATCACCAAGCTGCAGCACTTTTGGGACTGACTTCAGTATCCCCCGATGAGGGAAGCAGCTGGTACCGCTTGCTCTCGGGAGTTACAGGAAGTCCTCTTACCCCCACTTTAGTCTCCCTCCCAGTGGAAGGTCCTACCTTGGTTCCTACTTCTTTTTCTTGGTCTTCCCTAAGCCTAGAAGGACTTATACCCACCTGGCCTCGATCACAACAATTGCAGGCTGAAATGTCTCTCAGTGGAATAACCTGCAGCAGCAGGAGCCAGCTTCTTCTGCCTCTAATGATTGGGGAAGCAAGGATATCACTGCCTGAATTTTATGCAAGAGTTCTAATATCTGAAAGGCACACACCATTAGTTGGGATTTCTGATGGTTTAGGAAATTGGAGCAAAATAGAAACATTGACCACATTTTGAGTAACGATGTAAAAAAGATTGTTTCTCCTAGTTGCTATGATTTTAATGTGACGGCCAGATTAGTGATTTAATATTTGGAGGTGAAACCTTTGATAGGTGTGTTAGGCAGAGGCAGAATGGAGAAAAAAATTATCTAGAGAGAACTGTACTTCTTAAATTAGTTGTTTTCAGAGCAATAGTCCCTCAAACAGCAGGGCCAACATTATTTGAGAACACCTAGAGAAACACATTCCTCGGGTGACTGGCTCAGAAAGGCATAGATGTGTGTGATCAATATAAATATTTATATGTATGTATCTAACAAAAGAGGAAAAGGGGGCTAGACTGGCTTACACTAGAGGTCTGGGTGGTCCAACAATTGTCGTCTATATGCTGAGGGACTGGGAATCCAACAGGCATGCAGCGCAAGAAACTACTGAATACCTTTGCAGTCCCAACCGGGCACTGAAGTCCTAGAAAACTCCGGAGTTCCGTCTTCTTCAGTCGATTCTGGAAAGCCCTGGGATCTGATGTCAGCAGGGAACTCCAGTGACTGCAACACAGAGAGATGCTCTTGTTCAAGAAGAAGTCAGGCAGTGCTGATTACATCTGAACCACGGGTGAAGGTGTCTTTTATTTTGAAGGAGGGTCTTTCCCCTTCTGCTAATCCTGTCTGGAAGTCTCACTGAAATGCCCACAGGTATGTTTCCTGGTTGATTCTGGGGCCACTCAATTTGACAGCCAAGATTAGCCATCACAATCGGTGTGATAATTAGGTTTAATTGTCAGCTTGGTAAGATCTGTAATTATCTGGGAAATGGGCTTCTGGTCGGGCCTATGGGAGATCACTGGGTTATGTTAAGTGACGTGGGAAGACTTATCTGAATTGTTGGCGGGACAGTTCTCTGGGCAGGGAATCCTAGGCTATGTGAAATGGAGAGAGCAAGCTGAACACTATCTTACCTTTGCCTCTTTTTCCTTTTTGTGGACATGATGTGACCAGCTGCTTCAAACTCCTGCCGCCATGGCTTCCCTGCGCTGATGGTTCACACCTTAAACAGTGAGTTAAAATAAGTCATTTTCTCCCAAAAGTGGCTTTTCTCAGAGTGTTTTATCACAGCAGCAGAAAGGGAACTGAGGCAGTAGGCAATCAGGATTAGCTGAGTTCATGCAAGTGGGGATCTCAGGATGGCATCAGGGACCTCCTATCTTGCCACGTGGCACCTTCTGTCCTTTTGTTCTGCAAAAAGAAGGCCCTCTCTAGATCCCAGCATCCTGCTCTTAGTCTTCCTCTCCAGACTCACGAGTCAGAGAAACTTCTGTTCTTAAGTAGCGAGACGCTAACATTTTGCTATAACACGAAAAACAGACAAACAAACTCCCAAAAACCCAAGACAGATTTATCCATGAGTAAAGCCTGGTTCAGAGATGCTAAGCCATTTCCCTCACTCTCTCGGGACAACACAGGGTAGCATGGCTGCAGGCTAGTTCCTCTTCCTGGAAGCAGATCCGTGTGATGTGTGAAAATGTAGAGTACTGTCCCACTTCGTGCCGAGAACCAAGGCTTTGCAGCCGTGAACTTTCTCCCTCCTGGCCTTTGCTCTGTTGTCACACTCTTCCTTTTAAATACATTTTAACCTGTGCAACATTGTTATTTGTTCAGAAATGGGCAATCAATTAGCTTTCAGTGTATTTTTAGAAAAAAGAAAAGAAAAACTCTTAGTGTTTATCCCCATCCGTTGTGGGATCCAAAGTTCCTCATCCCTCCTTGCAGATACCGGTTTCCTTTGTGCTGTGGCTGTTGCCTTGATGATTTAATGTAAAAAAAAAAAAAAGTTGATTTGGTTAAATTTCCTGAAATTATTTTCCTTAAACATGCAATTCTCTGGAGAGTTTTGCCTTGGTTTCAGGACTTCTGGATTGTGTTTCTGACCCAAAGGTGATGGCAGCAGTTGCTGCCCCTCATTACCAAGCTGTCTACAGTTTCAGTTGCCCAGAACATGGACTAAAGCCATGCTGTCTTTATCTTATTATTTTATTTTTATCTTTATTTTTTATCTTAAAGAGAGACTAACAACCTCTCCTCCATTGTCAGTCATGGATGCTCAAGGTGGCATCTTCTCTCAAGTACTTGCTGGGATATTAGGGCCCCAGCTAAGTAGGAGAGATGTGTGAGAGCCCTTTGTTGTTATTCATGGTGGCAGATGCAGGGTGCAGGACTTGTGTGGAGAAATCCAGCTCTCTCGGCATATTGTTTATCATGGTTGAAATAGGAAATATCCTTTAGAAGTCATGTTTGAACTGGTTAGTCCCCAGATGGTGACATTGGGTAAGTTATTGAACCATTCATCGCTGGGCTTTGGCATTTTATATCTACCTCTACTTTATATTCTCTAATCTCTGCTTCCCGTGTGTGATGAATGGGACCACTCTGCCTCCTGGCTGCCAAGCCAGCCTCACGCTCCTGCTGGCATGCCTTCCCTGCTATGATGGATTGTACCCTCTCTCCAGTCGGCTGCCTTTGTCATGGTATTCTTTCACAGCATCAGAAGAGTAAGTAGCATGCTGCTCCCTCCCCACCCCACCTACTCACTCAGTCACTCAGTCACTCAGTCACTCAGTCACTCACTCAGTCACTCACTCAGTCACTCACTCACTCACTCACTCACTCACTCACTCACTCACTCACTCACTCACTCAGCGTACCAGTAGTGGAGGTTTGTATATGTCAGGGCATCAGGTCTCCATCATGTCCTTCTTTGGCCATCTAGACAGACAGCTAAAAATGCCCAGCTTCCTCATCCATGGGAAGCAGACGATCAACATCATGAACACATGAGGCTTGGAAAAGCAAGGAGGAGCAGAACTCTTGAAAACCACTAACTCCATGAAAGTAGAAGATACTATTTGACACTTGTCTTATGTGAGGGTGTCTAACAGTGTCAGCTTTGCTTCAGAATGCAGGAACAAATCTCTGAGTTGGAAATAGGAGCTAGAGTGGTGTAGAGTTTCTGCTTATGGGCTACCAACCTGTTCGAGGTGTGGCACATTCAACTTCTTATTCAGTTATACCACGTACGCTGCCATACCTCAGTAAATGTCTCATCTACCTGATGCAGTACACCAGCTCTTAATACTAGACCCCGGCTAGGCAAATTAGTCAGGGGACAAACTCTGTTGTCCTTGGAAGGAGGCATGGTCTCTGAGTGATTGCTGTTTGATTTGCTCCATGCTCAGAAATGCCTGTGCAATCTACAGCTGAGCTGTGCTCTTTGAAAACAGGCAGCTCACTGGCCCCCTCTCCACTGCCCATCGATCTACATAACTTCCAAAGACAAGGCATGTGACACTGGCCGCACAAACAGAGACTGCTTTGATCAGAGGAGAGCGGCTTTCTGCTCATGTTTTTCTGAAGGAAACTTGTATTTTCATGTTGTTATTTACTCAACATCATAGAGTTTGATGCCTCCTCTTGTCCAATAGGTGCCATAAGAAAGCCCTCTCTGGAGGCTTTCTTCTCTGATCTCTCACGTCCCATGCTAGATCAGCCCCCTGCCCTGTACTCCTGCTGCCCCATCCAGTGCTCCTTTAAACTACTGCCCATTTTTCTGAGACAGGATTTCACTTTGTAGTTCAGATTTCGGCCTGAAATTCACTCTGTAGCCAAGAGTTATCTCTGGACTCTGACTCCTCCCATACCAACCTTGTTTTGATTTTATGCGTATTTTATATGGTTACTTGATTTTTTTTGATGAATAGAGAATAGTGACTTCAAGTCTTACACTTCTGTGGTTCTGTTTGTCCATATGATAGCCTCTCTGGCAGTTGCTTTATGAATTTGATGCCATATTATTTGATGCATATGGATCCATCATAGCTAGAACTTCTTCCGTCTTGTACCCTTTATCACTGGAAAGCAACCTTCATATCATGTAGTACGTTTTGGTGACATTTCTGCATATTTGGAAAACTTCTTTTAGATTAAAAATAATTGTTGAAAGAAATAAAATAAAAATAAAAAATGTTGCAATCAGCTGAGAGACATTCAGATATCAATTGTATTCTTTCAGCTTCTCCGAAGGCCTAGAAAACATCAAGCTGAAAAGCAAGGATGTGTTGGGATAGCAATGTGAAAGCCACCCAGAGTTTATAGTCACATGTGGGTGTAGTTTGTGGGACAGGAAGTGAACAATTTTAGTTGCAAAAGACAGATTTAAACCCAGGACCAAGGGCTAGAAAGATGCTTCAGCAGTGAAGAGCACTTGCTGCTCTTGCACTGGATCCAGGCTTGTTTCCAAGGACAGGCATTGAGTGGTCCCAGCCACTTGGAACTGCAGCTCCAGGGGACTGCGACCCCAGTTCCCTGTGACAAAATCGTAGCAAACAAACTCAAGAGATTGTTGCAAGGCATTGCAGCAACACGTGGAAATGGGAGGCATGTAGGGAGTGCTTGGTCCAAGTGTCATTCGCATCTTAGGATGCTACCAAGAATGTTCAGCTGGTATTTTTACACTCAAAGCCAAGTTCTTAGGACTTACTAAGCCATCTCAGACGAATCACTTGATCTGCTGGGTCTGTTCTTTTTTTTTTAATTTGTAAAATAATATATGTCTTGGAAATTGTTATAATTAGAGTTACTAATATATGTGAAGTGATTAACAGTATAAGTTTAATTTAAAATCTCACTCTCATTATAGAATACCAGTGTTACGTATTTATCACTTACTGAAAGCCAGATATTATTCTAAGCACTTTTCAGATATCAAATAGATTAATTCTCATAACAATCTTATGGGATCTCTATAACTAGAGATCTCAGTTTAACTTGTGAGGAAATAGGCACAAAGAGATAATTACTTTGCCAAAGTCACACAGTTGGTATGTAGGAGAGGTTGGATCCAACTCCAGACCGTCTGGCTCCAAAATCCTTACTTTGATCTGTAACATCATCTCAATATAAATATTAAAAAGACAGTATTCTGTTATTGGGAGGTTACTAATTTGATTGACTTTAATCATTTTGATATAATCTAAAAGTATATATTAGATTTTTCTAAATATTCCATCTGTGATTTAGCTCTCTAGAAGTTTTACTGAATAAGTACGTCGAGTAAATAAATCTAGTCTCAAATAAAACAACACAATCAAATAAATAGCAGCAATAAGACCTGCCTGGTAGGTGAAAATCTGCATAAAATGCAGCTGTTATCGGCCTAAATTTTAATTGGGTAGAAATTTTCGGGTGGTAAAAACCTTAACAAATTCATCTGTCATCATGTTGGAATGGGTCTTTGATAGCCAGGGATGAGACTATTATAGATTCAAGCAAAAGAACCCTTTCTATGAATCAGCTCCCATGGTCTCAGGTGAAGTGTATCGGACAGAAAGTAAACACCACTGTGATGTTCGCTCTCCTCTAAGGAGAAGAGATACCATATACTCAGAAGTGTCGGTGCTTACATGCTGATAAACTGTCCATCTATTGATTTGGCTTGATTATGTCCTCCAGTTTTATATGTTCATGTGTTTGAAAATGATGCCTCTGGGAGGCGGTGAGCATCAGAAGTCATGAGGGTTCTGTTCCCATGATGTCCTTAGTTGCTTTATGAAAATGAGTAGGAGAGACCCAAGGTAGCATCCTTGCTCTGTCTTTCTTTCCATGACAAGTCCCCTGTTACATTACAATGTAGCAAGAAAGGCCCTCCCCAGCAATGGAGCAGATACCAGGGCCATGCTTTTGTGTTTTCTGTCCTTTAGAACCATGAAAGGAAAGCAATGGTTCCCATTCTTTATAAATTAACCAGTATCATACATATGTATGTGTATGTATGTATGTATGTTCTTTATAATTTAATTACCCAGTATCATATTATGTGTGTATATATAACTATATACACACATATTTTTTTTTTTTTACAGATTAGAACACAGATCCCAAAGAGTATGAAAGAAGGGGATTGGCTGTAACACTAAATAGGAAGAGGCCTTTGAAAATGCAGAGGATGAGGCATTTGGGGTTACCAGCTTCGTGTCGCGTCCTGTTAGATGGGAAAACCGCTTTGGCTGCTCACACATGCACTGCCGTTTTAAAAGGTGACAGACTATTTGACCAACAAACACTAAAAAGAGATTTTGAGCTTCTGCGAAGTTAGTATGAGGTCACTCACTGTTAAAATATAATAGGACAGCTTAGATAATGCCTTCACTGACAGGCACACAAATGACCAGTATCACATATCACCTTTATTTGCAGACAGGCCTGTCCCTTAGCCTGTTCTGGCCAATGTCTGATGTTAGCATTGGGATCAGCTTTAGAAAGACCTGGACTGAGGAGAAGATTCATTGGTTGAAGTATTGAAAGGAAGACAAAAAGATCCAGAGTCTGTAATTTTCCCACCCACATTAAGTTATTTGGATAAAACTCTGCTGTCATAATGGGACTGAACTCACTAAAAATAAAATATGTCTGAGAATACTTTCTCAGGTTTGACTGCTCTCTCTGTGAGAAAGAACAGAGAAGTTTGGGGGCCTCTGCAGAATACAGTCCTGTATCAGAAAGTGTTGGCTTTTGTTGAAATTTATTGCGGGAGATTTATCGACTTGCGAGATAAATATTGACCAAGTCAAAGTCAAGGTTATTACTTATCTTCAGGAATAATAAATCTTAGTGTTTTCAGTGACACAAAGTCAATATGTACTTTGCTGCATAAAGTCCAAATGAAGAGTTTCATCGAAACATCTGTAAATCTCTCCATCGTGACCACAATGGAAGCTTTAAAATTTTTATTTTTAAAGAAAGAATGGTATAGAGACCCGGTGGGAAGATCTGTGGGCTGCTAGGGAGGTAGCCAGGTAGCCCCAGTTCTAGTGTGAAGAAACACTGGTTGGCTCCGTGGTTGTTCATTGGCTGTTGTCACTGATGCCAAGTCAGAAGAATCAAAATTTTCTCACCCTGTGTAGGAGGTAGAGTGATCTGTAGATTCCTGACCACTGGTACATTTCAGGATGAACTATTGTAGCTTTTTAATACATGCAATGAATTGATTTCAGAAAAATTGTTGGAACAAATTAAGTGAAAATAGTCTTGACTCATTGGCGACGTCTGTTTCTAGCATACATTTACCTTCTCAGTTCACTCCATCCATGTTACTCAGCAGTCATAGGGTAGGCGCTCCACAAGTCCATCTATAAAAATAGTTGTGGATGCAGAAAAGTTGAAAATCACTAATTCTTGCCTTGGAAAGTTCTTCTCCCGGGAGCTACATATTGGGTGACTAGCTGAAGGATGCCTGTTAAGTCAGGGATGTAATTACAATAGGCTGTCTTCGCCTGAGTCCTCCAGGTACATAGGTGGGTCCAACTGCATAGCTCTTTCTAATGCTTGGCTGCCCCTGGAGGTGCTCAGCCTAAAAATGGGAGTCCAGCTTCGTGATGTTGCCATCTCTGTTCTGTACTTTCCCGAATGGGTTGGGCTGTTCTTTAGTTCCTATTATTGTTTATTTTCAGGGATGGTGACCAAGCTCATAGCCCTTGTGAAGATGAGGCAGAGATCTCACCACTGAGCTACACTTATAGCCCTTGCAGTCAACTTTCAACCTAGTAGCCATAGTTTCTTCCACAGTTTCAGCCAGACATACTTCTGTTTCAACCCTTGAGGATGACTGATGTGTTAGTTTCTTAGGGGGCTAAGACAAACTATAGTATGCCTTTTGTATCTACAGATTCCATGCCTACAGATTCAACTTCTATGGCTTAGAAATATTTTGAAACTAATTCTAGAAATTCTCTTTTATTGATTGATTGAGTTAGTGTGTGTGTTCCTTTAGGTTCTGAATCAACAGGGCACTGAAACCAATGCTTCACAGGTGACAAGGAACAACCCTCACACAAGCTGGGGTGTTCTTAAAACAATAATAATATTTTTTGAGGTATCAGGGGTGTGAGTCTCAAATCAAGAAATCTTCATGACCATGCTCCTGTGTAGGTCTTTCCCTGTCTTGTCCAGTTTCTAGTGGTTGTGCAAACGCTTGGCATTTTGTGCTGTGTAGCTGCATCGCTCTTATCTCGGCTTCTGTTGTTTCATAGCGCTTGTCCCTGTGAGAATCTGTTATGGACTCTCTTCTTTCAAGGACAACAGCCATTGGATTATGGCCCATGATAATGCAGTAGGCCTTCATCTCAGCTTAATGATACTCTTAAAAGATCTCCCCTTCACTGCCTGATGTGGTGGCACACATCTTTAATCCCAGCAATCCAGAGACAGGCAGATCTCTCTCTGTGAGTTCGAGGCCAGCTGCTCTACAAAGCAACAAGTTCCAGTACAGCCAGGGCTACATACAGAGAAACCATCTCTAACCACTCCTGAGAGAGAGAGAGAGAGAGAGAGAGAGAGAGAGAGAGAGAGAGAGAGAGAGAGAGAGAG